AGTTTTATAAGAAATGCTCGCTGAGTAAGCCATGGGGAGGGAGCCAGTAAGCAGCTCCCCTCCATGGCTTTTGTCTGCATCAGCTCCTGCCTCTTGGTTCCTGCCCTTACTGCTTTTGATGCTGATACAGAACTGTGAGTGAAATAAATCCTTTCCTTCCCAAGTAGCTTTCTTCACAGCAACAGAAACCCTGACTACAACATGTGGGTTCTAGGAATCCAAGCCTAGTCTACATAGTGAGCTCCAGGTCAGCCAGGGCTACAAGAGACCCCGTCTTTACAAAAATGAAATAAAAACAATAACAACAACAACAAACCCTGAAATCTCTTCAAATTACCAAAGCAGTACAATAAAGTTACAAGTTATTTTTCTAATATTGAAACCAATTTCAAATCCTAAGCTAATAAGCTATATGATGCTGTCATGGTCTATTATGATTAACAGACTAAAAGCATACACTCAGGACACAGAAGAAGTTCCTTCATACCAATTACAAATATTCTAAAAGCAAATGAGGGCTAGGGAAATAGCTCAGCAGGTAAGGCCAGAATGATGAAAGCCTCCATGGCCAGGTTCAACTGCCCAGACCCACGTAAAAAGCTGGAGAGCTGGCGCCACAGTTAGGAGCAGCTGCTGCTCTTGCAGAGGACCCGGGTTCAGTTTCCACATGATGGCTCACAGTCATCTGTAATTCCAATTCCCAGGGATCTGGTGCCCTTTTCTGGTCTCCGTGGGCTACAGACACACACGCAGTGCCCATACATACATACAAGCAAAACATTAAAAAAAAAAAAAAAGCTGGACACAGTAGTATACATCTGTGAACTCTAAATTCCTATGGCAAGATGGAAGGCAGAGATGCAGAGACAGGTGAATCTCCCAGCTCATGAGTCAGCTAGCCTGAGGTACCTCAGTTCAGCAGCAGAATCAAGAGAGATTGGCTCAACAAAGTGTAGACAAAAACAATCTCAAACACACACCCACACCCACATACACACACAGACACACACACCACTAGATAAATAACTGAAAAAGTCTTGAAGCAAATTACAGGGCAACTGAAAAGAACCCAACCCTTACATGAACTCATACATACACCTAATTCCCAAAGGAACAACACAATGATCATAGAGAAATGTTTACTTTAAAAACTATTCTATGCCAATTTATTTTTCAGACTCCTTATTTTTATTTCCTCTACTTTCAACTGATCTAGGGATTATTTTTTTCCTAAATTTTTTTTAAAAAAATGTATCAAACCATAGTAAAGCAAACTACAGATCGTATATTCAGATCGCTGTTAGCCAAAATGTATACTCATTTGATATTTATACTAAAACATACTAGTACTGTTATATTTTAGAAAAAATAAAATTATTTTAATAGAAGCCTCATTTATAACTGGGGAAGGGGGTCAAATGTGATAAAGTAAAAGAACTACAAGTCAAGGTGACTTTAATTCCCATGTGTTTTACACGTACTGTATGGCATGACTGAGGCTCTTAACCTGAGAAACCAAACCAAATAAATCACAGAACTCTTGCAAATACTTCTGACACAATCCTACCAAAGGGATGTGTACATTCAATAAAAAAACAAAACAAGACGCTCACAATGACTTGGCTGATCAGAATATGATAGACATTTCAGAGTATTAGCCGATAGAAATGGACAGCTAAGAAAAGTTATTTCTTTAGTTAATGTGGAACTCCTTGCAAAAACTCTTAGCATTTTCTAAAGACAGAAAGGAAAAGATATATTTCATAATTACTAAAATGTCTAAGATGCCTAGGATACCTGGCCAGGACTTCTACAGACTCTTTAAGCAAGATTATGAAGACCAACTCCAGAGCTCTGTGGAGAGCAGAATTGGGGACCAGCTCTCAGCAGTGGCCAGAGGGGCACAGGGTTTACTATGGCCACAGAAAACAATGAAGGCTTCCCACAGTGGGGGTGTAAGAGCTCAAGGGAAGTTATTTAGAGCAGTTGTGAGATCTCACACTCTTTAATAATAGAACAGACTCCCTATTTGCCATGGAATGGTTCTGAAGCACAGCCATTCAAATTCACAATTAGAAGGGTTCTTAGAGTCCCTTCCAGACCCCAAGACCAAGAACCACACCTACATCCACAGTCAACATTAACAAAAATAAAGCAGCTTCCTTTCCAAGGCAACACCTGTATTAATTGGAGGACATTACAAAGGCTTTCCATGTAGTCTAGGTGTTTTACAGGCTATCTGGTCTCTCTAAATGCAATTCTCTTGCTCTTACTGAAATGCAACATTCATTTTTCTAAATTTTAATTTCTAAAGCAAATTCTAATTACAGATGGGCCCCAAATTACCAAACTGATTCTAGCTATATGACCTTGGAAAGTCTCTTCCTGTAAAATGAGAGCGTGAAAGTAAGATCATTAGAATGTAAACTCTATTCTGTCGGCCGCTCCACGCTCTGCCACTGGGACAGGTCAGGCATGAAATGTTTACTGACAGTATCACTGCTGTCCCAAAATACATACATGTCAAATAAATATGACCATTGGTTTAGCTTTCTTTTCCTCCACTATTTTTTATCCATGTGCTAAGTAAGGATGGAATCCAGGGTTTCATGTACACTAAACATATTCTACCACTGAGCTGCATTCCTGGTCTCACTTTTTTCCTTTTTAACTAATTCAATTTTAGTCTGGATCATCTCAAAAATTTTTTTTGAAGAACCCTGAAAATAAGATGTCTCATGCAGAAAGCAAAAATACATCTATTTTAAAATAAGGTACTAAGCTTTTAGAAATAGGGGCAAATTAAAGAGAGCTGGCAGTCACCACTGTTTTTTACTCCAGTTCTGTCCCTTTGACCCATTACTGTATTCTGTTTCTTTTTCGTATGTAAGGGAAGCTTCTGGTCCTATTAGCTGCCTCTGTGAAGACAACTTCCCCTTTGAGGCCTGCAAGGCCACGTCTGTAAAACAAGGGGACTGAACTCATTATTAATTTCTCAAGTCTCTGCTTTCATTCTACCATTAATGTAGTCCTGATGCCTTGAGTCAGTGCTTACCACTCCTAGAATCAAAGAATAGCCTCCCAATCCGCCCTTCTCCAAACTGTTTCCTTTCCCGTTATCTCTACGGGATCAAACGAATCCAACCCTAAAACTACTAGATGGACTAGGTGAAAAGCTCCCCAGCTTTTGATGCCAGAGACCTGGATTGGAATGTAGGTTCTGCTACTAAACACCTAAAATGGTGATGCAGCAACTATTTTTCTGAGGATTAGTAAAATGTACAGAGTCCCTAACCCAGAGCCTGACATAACCTTTTAGAAGCCACAGTTTCCCACTACATATGTGACAAGGGTGACGACTTTAAAACCACACCTCTGGTAGGGTATCAGAAGCTGGCCTGTACTCTGCCAGTACACCTCACGAGCAGAGCAGCCCGATCGATCGCTAGCCCTCTAGAACTCTCACAAGTAAGTGGTACTGCCTCCCACAGCTCCAAACCACGCGGCAGGGGGAATGAGGGCAAGACGTTCTTTCAAAAGATAAGAGTCTCGGGATTTTACCTGAAAGCAAACTTCTCAGTCTGCTGTTCACCTAAGAAGCCACTCGAGACTCTTCCAACTTCAATGTACAGGAAGTAAGCTAATGTTAATGTGCCACAAGTATTCTAACTTATTTTGATTTTCACTCATCGGAGATTAAAAGCAGGAACAGAAAATAAAATTTCTCACATAACGAAAGCACACTGAGCTTTGTAGACTCGTACAAACATGTTCAGGAAAGTGCTAGCTGGCTTCTTGATTTCAAAATAGGTCAAAACTGGGGAGAACAAGGGAGGGGTGATGGGGACTGGCAGTTAAGCGACTTCGGGTGAGTGGCGCACACCTTTAATCCCAGCACCGGGGAGGCAGAGGCCAGCCTTCTCTACAAATTAATCATTAGCACTTCAGCTTCTGGGTGATTTTTCTTGTCCTGCCAAGCCTGTCCTCCTCTCCCAGGTTCCTTGCTCACACTGTCAACCAAAGCACCAAAAGGCCTCGTTTTCACTATTTACGATCTGAAGTGGCTGATCAAACGCACTTGAGTCCCTCCCTTCTCTAGGCTCTTCAGTCCTGTTCCTTCTCCTCTCTGGCCCACGCCCCTCCCACCCCCACCCCCCAAACTCACGCACATGCTCACCTCCCTGGGGCTACATCCCTTGCCTCAGTCTAATTTCCCCTCATCTGTGACCATACTTACCCATTCTGGGTCCTATTCCTGACCCCATCACTGTCTGGCCCTTCCTTTGCTCCTGTTCTGCCCAGGCTTCTCACTCATTTCTCAATCCACTACTTGTCATCAGACCTGACCTTAGTGAAGCCCGGCCCTCCAACCCAGACCTCGTAACAGACAAACCTGCTCCTCTACCTTGTATGCATTCCCACCGTCCCTGGTCCTGTCTAGGCCCTCCTCATTTTGGACCCTGTCCTCTTTCTGACGGTTGGCGTAAAAACCCAAACCCTAATTCTAACCCCAACAGTCCTCCTGTGTGACCCGGCAAAGGCCTCTAGGCTGGCTGGCCTATCGCACTATTTCTGACTCTGAACCTGGTGCTTATCCCAATCCTTCACTGAAATCAAGTGCCACAAATACCCATTCCACTAAGACCCCAGTTTTGACACCTGATATTCATGTCCTTCCCATCTCCCCAAGCCAGGCGAAAGTGGAAACGTGGACCCTCCTCCGCACGCCACCAGGGACCCCTAACCCCTTACTCAGCAGGTAGCCCAGGAGACCCCTCCCCAGTCCAGGTCCGTATACCTAACTCCAGGCGGGCAGACTCCTCCCCCAAAGCCCTTCTCCCCATCTGACCCCAGCCTAATGACCCCGATCTCTGACCAGAGCCCGTGCTGTTATCTCTGCACCCCAAGAGTCCCGCTGGGAGCCCGGCGGGCTGTGTTCCTTGCCCACGGGACTCGAGTGCAGCCGCCTCTCCCGCGAGGTCAGGGGCAGCCCCACTCACCTCCGCGTCCACCACCTCGTGGTAGGCTGGCGGGGGATCGAAGCCGCCGCTCCCCCCG